GGAGTTCATGGTTGGAGCTGGGTCTGAGTTAGGCTGTGTGTGAGGGATCCAAATGGGAATTGCTCAGAGATAGGGAAGTTTTGTTTAACTTTCCTGGGAGTGTTGAAGCCTCCATGCAGGATGTTCCACATGGGTGTGATCTTTCTGCTTGGCTCAGCCACCAGTGCCTTGTGAAGGAGACCCTTTGGAAGCTCCTGCTGCTTTTTCCTTCAGAAAGCAGCTGGTTAAAAAAAAATGAGGAGCTGTTGAAGCAAGTCCAGAGAAACCATGGAGCTTCTCCAAGGGCTGGAGCTGCTCTGGAGCCAGGCTGGGAGAGCTGGGAATGTTCCCCTGGAGAGGAGAAGGCTCCAGGGAGAGCTCAGAGCCCCTGGCAGGGCCTGAAGGGGCTCCAGGAGAGCTGGAGAGGGACTGGGGACAAGGATGGAGGGACAGGACACAGGGAATGGCTCCCACTGCCAGAGGGCAGGGATGGATGGGAGATTGGGAACTGGGAATTGCTGGCTGGGCTGGAATTGCCAGAGCAGCTGTGGCTGCCCCTGGATCCCTGGCAGTGCCCAAGGACACTGGGGCTGGAGCAGTCTGGGACAGTGGGAGGTGTCCCTGCCATGGCAGGGGTGGCACTGGGTGGGATTTGTGGTCCCTTCCAACCCAAACTATTCTGGGATTCTGGGATGATTAAGTGCCCCTAGAGGAAGCTGGGGCCTGGTAAGGTGATCTGGGCTGATCCAGCCTGGCCTTGGGCACTCCAGGGATCCAGGGGCAGCCACAGCTGCTCTGGGCACCCTGTGCCAGGGCTGCCCACCCTCCCAGCCAGGAATTCCCAATATCTCATCTCAATTTCCCTACATCACTCGTGTGGAGCTGCAGGTGGCAGAGTTCTGTTGCTGCTGGCACTGGGACCGTGTGGAAACCAAGGGCTGGAAGTGTCCCCGGGGGCTGGAGGTGTCCCCAAGGGCTGGAAGTGTCCCCGAGGGCTGGAAGTGCCCCCTTAGGCCATGCTGGGCTGTCCTTGTCCTCTCTGAGCTCAGAATTTGAGCTCTTGTGGATGAAAGTGTTCCTTGGTTGGAGAGTCAACCAAGCATGAAGCCTTGAGAGCCGTGTCGGGACGTGTCAAACATGGATGTTTTAAACCTTTGCCACCTTTCATGGAGAAATCCATCCTGGAGAGCTGTTTTGCTCTCATTTCCAAGCTATTTAAAGTTATAATTTTCAATTTCCAAGCTACTGTAAAGACTTATTGTAATAGTCAGGGGTTACTTCTAAGAAGATGCTGCTGGAAACTGGGGCTGTTGAATGTAATCCTCCAACAGTTTATTTTTGGTTCAGTTAATTCTGTGCTCAGCATTTCAAGACTCTTGGCAAGTTTTTTGGGAGGTCAGAGAAGGACAAAGAAGGAGAACACAACAAACTTATTATTTCACGTTTTTTCAAAGTAATCCCTTCCCCAAGCTATATTAAGGACCATAATTAGTTTGCTTCTGCTATAAAACAAACTAATTTCTGAATAGTCTTTAATTGGTAGCTGCATTTTGGGAATACCATGACTACACAAAACAGTTATGTCAGGAAACATTATTAACCTGCTGATGAAGCTCATCAAAGCTTCTCTGGAGCTGTTTCATCTTTGCAGTCATGAGCACCTCCGAAAAGTTTTCATTTCACTACAGGCACCAAAGGTTTGAGCTTCAAATTCTCAGCTCTCAGAGCTGGTTTGTGCTGGGATCCCACAAATGCAGAGGTCAGGAAATCCAGGTCCTTTCCCATATTGGCATCAATTGTTGGGTTTTGATGAGAGAGGTTGTGGCTGCCTTGTCCCTGATAGTGTCCAAAGCCAGTTTGGATGGGGTTTGGAGCAGCCTGGGACAGTGGAAGGTCCCTGCCCACGGCAGGGTTGGAGCTGGATGGGATTTAAATCCCCTCCCAAGCCATCCTGGGATTCCCTGATCCTCTCATTACAGGAGCCACCAAAAGAATTTAAGCTTGAAATCTGTCCTGCTTTTCAAACTTGCAGCCTGCGTGGGAGGTAACTCTGGATGGAAAGTGTCTTCAATTTGGAGAAATGAAAGCAGAATAAAGCCATTTGGGTGCTGAGGGAGCCGGGAGGGGAGCGGCGGGCGCTGTCGGTGCCGGGAGACACGAGGATGGGTTTGAATGATGAAGTGTTCCAGAAACCACAGTCATCCCTGCTAAGGTTGATGTTAATTTGGTCTCGGTTTAGTCACAGGGAAAAATGAATGTGTACCAAACAGCAGATGACAGTGTGTGCAGGGAAAAACAAATTAAATTCGAAGTTGCTAAGAGAGCATCATAAATACCAGAAAATAAACGGCTCAAATTGAAGAATTATTTTACAGGGTCATTGAAATCAGCTGCAGATGGTTGTCCTCTGTTTGCTCTGGCTTGGAAGGCAGAGCAGGCTTTAGAATAAATTCCTGAATCATTTTTTTCCAAGGTCTGTGCTCTGATAACATCTGCAGTAATATAAATGCCTCGGTGTGTGCTCCCCGTGAATACAAAGTCTGAGTTACAGTGCCTGGTGGAACAGGCTAATGATAATCACCTTCCTGATAACAAACACACCCCAGGCCCGTGATTTATGGCAGGCCATGGGGTGTAGGGATGGGATAAAATGGTAAATACTTCTGGGAATTCAGCGTTGGGCTGGGATGAAACTTGGAAAAATTGGTTTGGGCAGTGAGTCAGAATTAACGGAGCAACAGCACAAGGGGTTACTTTTTATCCTCATTTAAAGCACGGATTAATCACAGAATTGTGGAATATTCTGAGCTGGAAGGGACCCGCAGGGATCAGCCAGGGCAGCTCCTGGCCCTGCCCAGACCCCCAGCAATCCCACCCTGGGCATCCCTGGCAGCTCCTGGAGCTCTGGCAGCCTCGGGGCTGTGCCCATTCCTGGGGAGCCTGGGCAGTGCCAGCCCCCTCTGGGGGAAGAACCTTTCCTGATAATAGACCTCCCATTCAGTGTTTCTTTTCTAACAGTATTTTCTGTGAAGAAATCAAATTCTTTTGCTTTTAATCAGGAAGAAATTCTCCAGAAAGATTCAGGGCGTTTGCTGCCAGATTTCAAAGTCCTGGTGGCACTGAGGAGGAGAGGGTGTCCCTGACACAGCCACGGGTGCCAGAGGCACATTCAGAGGGAAAAGAGATTATTTTCCTCATTTTATGGAGGAAAAGTAGGATGAGACTTGGTGCAGCCTGGTCTAGTGGAAGGTAATGAAAGGTCCTGAAATAAATCCCCTGGCAGGGGTTGGAATGAGCTGAGCTGTGATGTCCTCTCCAACCAAACCATGCTGTGATTCCCACACTTGGATTTTTCAGCTGGGTGAGGAGGGTTGTGCTCTCCTTGGAAGTTCAGGCAGGGCACCAAAATCCCAAATCCCCTGCAGGGAGGCTGAGCTGTGTGTGCTCTGTGGGCCAAACAATCCAGGGCAGAGCTGGGAATTCTGAGCTGCCCAAGGATGGGGTTCAGGAGCTTGCGGGAGCTCTGGTGCTGCACAGATTTTGTGTCTGCAGCCCCTGCCTTGTTCTGAACTCTGCAGAGTGTTTCCACAGCCTGAAGCTCTGGCAGATCCCTCTCTGGCAGGCAGGAGAGGATGCAGCACGAGGGAATAAGAATGTTAGGCTTTGCATGCAGAAATGCAAGAAGTAGGGATGTTCTGAGAGGGTTTTCAGTCAGGGCAGCTCTGCTGCACTTTAATCTCTCCCCAAACCATCCCAGCATCCAGTGCTGGCTCCTTGCCTGGATTGTAATCTTTCTGGATAGAAAATGAATCCAATCCTCTGCCTTGGAAAACCAACAGTACGTGTGTTATGACTTTCCATATTGTGATTTCTAATTTAACTAGTGGAAAAAATAGGACTCTGGCTTATTTTTCCAATCCTGGTTTGTTTTTGGTTTTTTTTTTTTCAAGATGACAGTTAAATTTTGTACCTCAGACACAATGTGACATCTGGCTGTGCATAAGGCTCCATCCACAGGGGGCCAAAAATGTGCAGAATTGCCTTTTTGCTTCTTGGTCTGCAAGATGTCAGTGATAATTGAATTTAACTTTCATTGGATTGACAAGAAGGTTGAACTGGACTGAGAAATTTAAAAGTATGACTTAATGTGGAAGGTTTGCAAGTTGTCCCTGTTATTTCCAATTAACTAAGGAAGGTAATTCCCAGAACCTAAACCACTCCTCCCGGTCAGACCATTTTTATTTTGTCTGTCCTTCCCCTCAGCCTGCACAGATGATGTGTGAATAACACAAGGACAGGGAAAGCTCTGCAGTGCCTATGAAACAGCCCCTCCAGGATATATTTTAGGACTTTTAATTACCTGTAACTGATTTAAATCTCCAAACCCGTAGCAACACGTTTCAGGTTGTTTGTGAACGGCCTGGAAACACACCCCAGGCTGTGTCTCTGCCTGTGGATACCTCTCCTTTTTTGCTTTTGGGTTTTTTTTTTTTTTTTTTTTTCCAACTGCACGGGGATCAGAGCAGCCTCAGTGGCTGGGTGTGAAATGGATCCAGCCCTGAGTGTTCCAGATCTGATCCTGCAGTGAGGATCCTGCAGTGCCTCTCCAGGGAGGTGTTTGTGTTTCCCTGCAGGCAGCAGGACACAAACCCACAGCAGTCTAACACCTTGCTGGGGTTAAGACAGGTGAGGAGGGTGGAACGAGGTTGGGACACATAATTTTTCGGAGAGAGTCTACATCTGTGTATTAGTCACCCACCCAAAGAGAGAAATAATATTTCCTTTCTATTTGATACGATGCAGATTTGTACTTTCAAGCAAAATTAGCTAAGCACTGGTTTTCATTCATTTCACCTCGTTCTTTGAATGTCTGGCTTAGAATTTCTCTGTCAAGACTTGAGTGTGCTGTGAAACTTGGGAATTGCTGTCCTGGCTTTCTTTGCAGTGAGTTTTCAGCCCCGGCACCCCTGAAGCGTAGCACAAAAAGAACATAACCTGCTGTTTTCTCTCTTTTTCTTTAGGAGAGGTTGTTTGTCAGCGAGGAGAACGTTGATGGATTTCTAGGCACTGCTTTCTGCCCTTCCCCGTGCTCCCAATCAGAGCTGGAAAGCCAGCCATTAATTGAAGTGCTGGATGTTACTGAGGACAGAATTCAAATCAGGGTGGAGGTAAGGATCCAGCAGCAGCACAGATTGATGTTCTTCAGCAAGATCCTGTCAAATCCCACTGAAACAGCTCTGCTCCTCTTTTGTCCTGAGGAAGCAGGGAAAGCCCAGGACTGGGGTTATTTGCAAGTGTAAATGTCAGTTTTCAGAAGTTAAACTTGTGTTTGTGCCATTTCACGTGACCAGAGGATTGAAACCTCCTCTGTTTCATTTGGAAGGTGCAGAAGTGTGATCCAGTCATTTCAAAAGTGCTTTTTCCTTGCACCCACTCAGCCTTGTACAGGTAGAGAAATCCTAGAGGGTTTTGTCTGGGAAGAATCCTGCCTCATCTTTATTCAATCCATGTATTGGAATACTTGGTGGGTTCCTGTTGTGTAGATAATTAAACATGAGGCTATTAATCTTAAACACTGGTCTCAAATTCAATCCTTGTAGTCTGAGGCCTCACTCAGGCTCTCCTTCCTGTGTCCAGAACAAGCCAGGCTGTTTCTGGGATCTGCAGGGGATTAAACTGTCCTCCCTTGGCAAAACAGATGGACACATGAAGAAATCAAAATGTTCATTTTGTCAGGAGGGAAATGCAAGGCAAACCCCCACATTCACTGGGATTTCTGAGTAGGCACTGCTTCCAAAATTCAGGTAAAACTCTTCTTGAAGGGAACATAAAAAGCAGAAAGCAGCAGGTCCTGCTGTGCCGTGGCCTGGAGCCTGCAGCTGGGGTTAATGTGTAGCTGGGTCACTGGGAGGCAAGCTCAGAGGAAGCACATGACCTCTGGAGCTGGACTTTCCCAAAGATAGTGGAGCCAGCTCAGCTTTCACAGCTGCTGTGGGCTGGACATCAAAAATTGAAATTCTAAGTGTTGCAGAGCAGATGAGTCCCTTTTGGGACCCTAGGGCAGCTGAGATAGCCTAAATCATCCCATTCCTGCTCCTGAGGGGCCAGGAGTTGGAGTTTGTGGGAAACAGAGTAAAGGTAAGAGGATTTTTAGAAAGTTGTGAAAGTAGGTTTTAGAAATAGAAAGAGTAGAGAGTTTAGAGTTAGTTGTAAAGTTTGAAAGTAGAAAAGGTATAAAAGTGTAGTAAGTAAGGATATGAAATAGTAGTTTGGGTTTTAGATTTGGTTAAGGTAGATTTTAAGATTGTAGAAAAATATGTTCAGTATGCTGTTGGCTAGAAAGTTTTAAAAATGCTCTGTAACAGAAAAATCTTTGCCACTAACAAGATGTAAACTATTACCATCTTTCAATTATCTCAACCATATAATAAGACTATAATACCACAATGAAACTCAGAAACCATATCCCAGCAGTCCCACCCCATTTATAAAACCTCCAGCACAGAGCTGGTGGTTCCTGAGGGTCCCTTCCAACTCAGGGCATTCCATGACCGTGTCCTGTGGGAGAACTGTCCCGTTTGGAAAGGACTGCCTGGTGTTTCCTGAGTTTCCTGTGGTTTGGGGCTGTGAGAAAGAGACTCTGTCTCTGAATCCATGAACCCAGCTGCTCTTGGATAGATCCTGCCTGATCCTGGCTCTGCACTGACAGGGACCTATGAATTACCAGCTGGTTTTTGCCAAAACTCCCAGAAATGGTGAAATGGGGCAAGTGCTGTTTGGGCAGCACCTCTCCCAGCTCCTCCTCTCCCGAGGCAAACTGCAATTCCCAGATTTGCCCCATTCACAGGCCAGGAATTTCCCTAATTGCAAGGCTCCAGCCTTGCAACAAGAGTTGAGATGCCCTGGCTGATTCTGCGGCCGCTGGGATTTGGGGATTTGGGGATCAGGCTGGGTGTGGTGAGTGCCTGGGGCTGGAAGGGGAAGCAGGAAACCCTGGGGAAGCAGAAGGACCTCCCTGCCCCTCATTCCCAAACACCAGAGAAGAGCAGGAAAACCTCAGCAGCCGCTCACTTGGATTCTGGAAGGAGAATCCTGGAATCACAACCTGATTTGGAACCTTAAGGATCATCTGCTTCCCACCCCCTGCCACGGGCAGGGACACTTTCCACTATCCCAGTGGAGCTGAGCTGTTGGAGAAACAAATCTCTCCTGTCTTTGCGTGCACGGTTTGTTCCTGCTACAAAATAATTCATTTATTTCCTCGACAGCCACGGGAACGAGATGGACAAGGAGCGCTCGGCAGCTCGGGGGGAGCCCACAGCAAGCACCCCGAAACAAAGGCAGAAACAAAGCGTCCCGCAGCCGAGGGAGGTGCTGCAGGATCCAGCCCAGCTCCCACAGCCGCGACAATAGGAAAAGCAGGCTGTGCTTCACCCCATTGTTTGCAGCACGAACCTCCTGCCACCAGCCCGGCGAGTGCTGGCGGAGCCGGCAGAACGGAGCCCGATTTAGAAAGTGCTGCTGCGGCAGGAGACACGGCCCCGGAGCAGGGCTGGGGAGAAGCAGGAGAGCTGCAGGGGGATGGGGATGATGGGGATGGGGATGGGGATGGGGAGCAGGGGGATGGGGAGCAGGGGGATGGGGATGAGGGGGCAGCCCCGGGGCTGGGCAGCAGGGCAGGGTCCCCCGTCCTGCGGGAGGTGAACCCCAAGGACGGCAGCGTGCGGATCCTGCGCGACCACCGCGCGCGCTGCCCCGCGCTCTTCCACAGCCCCCTGCTCTACGAGCTCGATTAGTTCCATTGTTTTGGAATTTCCTCCCGTTGTTCCATGCTTGTTCTGACTTCCACGGGCCGGTGGAGGACGCAGAAGCCATGAGTTCCCACCGAGACCGGTGCAACAGCGAAACTTTCCGTTGTTAACAGTTTAACAGCTGTCGAATGGCATCTGTGGCAATAATTTTACAAAAAGTTGCTGTTGGAGGTGACTCTGAGCTCCTGGAAAAAAAATGTATCTTTATTGTTTGCATAAATTTTTTATTCTCTTGCCACGTTTCAGGGATTATTTGTATATATCCTCAGTCTAATGGCTCCCTCGGGAATGGAGCAGTAGTCATCATTTTCCAAACCTTTCATTTGGTGATAACTGCAGGATTAGACTCGCAGTGATTCTTAGCAATCAAATGAAATTTCTAATTACCCGGAGAAGTTCTAATTAGTCTCCTAGAAATAATCAACACTTATACCCTGTATTCCATCCTAGTGCTGTGCTTCAGATCTGCAGCACCCAGAAATCCCCCAGCTGAACAAATTCCATTGCACAAGAACATCCTCTGGGTGCATGTCTGCTCTGAAGTATTTACAATTGGTGAAATGGATTCTCTTTAGCCAGATTTAGATTTATTTTTCTCAGTTTCCCTCGAGTTTCAGCGTTTCTCACCTCCCTAAAGCAGAATAACCAAGAGAACACATCTAATAATAAATTTCCTGTTCCCCTTCCTCACTGCTGCTGAAGCAACTTCTGTTTTTGTTTGAGAGGTGCTTCAGAGGAGAGTCAGTTTTGCCTCGTTCCAGGGCTGCTCTGTCCCATTTCTGTGTGAAACACCAGTTTGTGCGTGTGGTTTCAGAGTTCAGCAGGAGCCACAGCTGCCCAAAACATCTGCCCTGCCCTCCCTGGGGGCACATCCTGCTGCAGCTTTGCTGGGCTCAGCTCAACCCCGTCAGCTTTTTGGGACAGGTCTCCGAGGGTGAGGCACCAGCACAGCTTCAGCAGCAGCCCCCACCCAGTGGAACAGCACACGGAGCAATTACCTTGCAAAATCGTGGTTAAATAACCCCGGAAAAAAGAAAAAAAAAAGCAGCATTTTGTTTCTCTGACATATTTCCGTGCTCTGCAAAAGCTGCTGAGGTGCTTCTGCCACAGCTGAGCTCGCAGAGGGCTGGCACTGAAGCTGCTGCAGCGTTCACAGATGGCTCCGTGGCCCCAGCTCAGCCCCTTCCCACCACCCAGCAGCAGTTTTCACACGGCTAATTTGAAACAACTTTTAAAAAAAAAAAAAATCCAAACAAAAGAGGTGTTGTGCCACCAATTTGCTACTGTTTTCAGCCTCAATTAATGAGTATCATTAAAAATGTAATGAAGTTAAGTGCACACTGCTAGGAGGAGTGATGGCACGTGTCCAACCCTCAGGATTAACGAGGAGCAACTCCCCCCTCCTTCCCATCCTGACTTTTTAGGAACACGAGGTGACATCATCTTTTTGCTGACAATCAAGAACTTCTCTAGGCTTACAAAACAACAGAATTTTTATTTCGGCAGAACTAAAAAAATCATATATTTATCTACATCGTAGTTAAAAAAATGAGATTTATTTTTTTTCATCCTTCATATATTCATCGACACAGCGCAACCGAACCGGGACTCGGGGACTGGGGTGAGCCGACCCCGGGTGGGACCCCAGGCACCACCAGAGCTTTGAAGCACCAAAAAAGATGCACTTAAAAGTGTTCTCCTCCTCCTCCTCCTCCCAGCAAACACAGCAGCAGGTCACTTTTCGCGCAGGGGCTGCAGCGCGTCACCCGCTTCCAAAACGTGGTTGCCAAACATGAGAGATGACTATTTTGGGACACCTTTAACGAGAATGTTTATTCATATTAAAGCAGAAACCAACTCATAAATGCTGTTTATACACGTGCGTGCCTGGAAAAGACACAATGGAACAACTCAAGGAGAAAAGGCGCGGCGAGGAGGATCCTCACTGGAGTCTGCGGTAGCTCTTGCAGAGTTCGTGGTCCCTGATGTCTCCCCAGCCTCCGTTCTTGACGTGAGGGGACAGGGGAGCCATGGAGTACCTTTTACTGACACTCATCTCCTCGGGAAACAGGTACTGTTGGTTGCTGTTCAAGAGAGAATCGATTTTGGCACTCTGGGTGGACGGCCTGCAGGATTTCTTGTGGTGCATGCCACAGTCCCCCGTGTGAAAAATCCTGGGGATTTCGGGAACCAGCACTTTCCAGAACTTTGGAAGACAAGAGACAGTCAAGTGCTGCAGAGTCCAGTCCCAGTTGTAGTCATCGTAGGTGCAGAAGGCGTCCGTGCACTCGATGAGCTTCTGGTAGGTGTCTCTGCCGAAGGCCATGCCCATGTTGTGCTCCGTGGACTTCCACGTCTTCACCTCCACCTTGTCGGCGCGGCCGGCGAAGCCGCCCCGCACGGGGCCGTAGGTGCCCAGCGACACGAGCTGGCACTCGGGGCACTCTCTGCGGCGCAGCGCCCAGAGCCGCTTGAGGACGTGGTAGAAGTCGGGCGCCAGGTAGTGATCCTCCTCCAGGAAGAGCACGGGCCCCGCGTGCTCCCGCAGCGCCCGCACGCGCTCCCACACGAAGTGCAGCTTCCACCACCAGTGGTGCTTGGCCTGCGCGAAGCGCGCCTCGCGGTAGTGCCCGAACGAGTCCGGGAACTCGGCGTTGATGCAGCCCAGCCGCAGCGCCGCCGCCTTGCCCGCGTCGCGGGGGCAGTCGCGGGGGTCGTGCCCCGGGAACTCGCGCGGGTACAGCTGGATGCTGAACGGGAAGAACACCTGCAGCACCGGGCAGAAGTCCACGCGGGCCGCCAGCCGGTTCAGCTCCTCGGCCCACAGGTCGTGGCTCAGCACCAGCAGCACGTTCTCCACGCCCGCCGCCCGCCGCAGCGACTCGAGCAGCAGCCGCAGGTGCTCGGCGCGGTCGTGCACCTGCACCACGAGCACCGCGTCGGGCCGCGCCGGGAAGCGCCCGGCGTTCCGCACCGGCTGGTCGAAGTTCAGGCGGTACACGAGCGAGCGGTAACTCAGCGTCGCGTTCTCGGACAGCGCCGCCTCCGCCGCCACGCCGGCCGACGCGTTGGCGGCGGGGCGGCGCGGTACCGGCGGCGGGAGATCGCTGACCCGCGGCGGTTCTCCGGTGCTACCGGGACCGCCCCGCTGCTGCTGCTGCTGCTGCTGCAGCTGCTGCCGCCGCCGCCCGCCGCCGCCGGTGCCCCAGAGCGCCAGGGCGCAGAGCGCTAGCGCCAGCGCCAGCAGCAGCACCTTGCGCTTGTAGACGCGCAGCCGCATCGTCCCGGCGGCGGCGGCCCTCCCAGCGCGCGCGCGCCGCCGCCGCCCCGCGCGCACACGTCGCCGCTCGCCATTGGCCGCCGCTGCGGCGACCCCGGCCTCGCTATTGGTCGGGGGAACCGTCAATCAGCTCTTCGGCGCTTCCGCCGCGCAGGGGGGGGCCGCGCAGCCGCCGGCGCCGCACCGCGCTCTGATTGGGCGGCGCTGGGAGGGGGCGGGGCCAAGGCGTGAAGGGGAGGGCGGGAAGGGGCGGCGGAATCCTTCGGGATTTTGGGAAAAAAGGGAAAATAACTCGGGAAAACACACGGAAACCAGGCGGGATCCGCGGGAGTAACGTGAAGGATGAGTGAGTACTAGGTTTGAAAAACAGCACGTTCAAAAGCATTCTGCAATGACGGGAAAATGGGGAGAAATCATTCTAGAAATGCAGGAATAAGGTAAAATTATTGTAGGATTGGAAGAATAAAACAAAATAATTTTAAGATGGAAAGAGAAAAAAAATCTAAGATTTACAGATTAAAATAAAACAATTCTAAGATGGAAAGAGAAAAAAAATCTAAGATTTACAGATTAAAATAAAACAATTCTAGATTTGAAAGATTAGTACTGTGAACCCATTCTTGAATGGTAAGAATTAAAAATTCAGATTAATTAATTCTAGAATCGCAAGTATGAAATGACTGCAAAGTTTTCAACATTAATATAAGAGGAAAATAATTCCAGAATTGCAAGAACAAGCTAAGGAAACATTCCTAGATCCCTGCAGGGATGGGGACTCTACGAAACCCCCTTCCCACAAAGAAATTTTCCCAATATCCAAATTATCAGTGTGCTGCCTCCAAGCCATCCCATGTTCCAGGGAACGGGATTCCTAAAAACTTCTCAAAATGAAATAATTCTAGAATTGAAAGATTAGGATTACGAACCCATTCTTGAATGGTAAGAATGAAAAAAAAGCAGATTAATTAATTCTAGAATGGCAGGTATTTGTTCTCTGCTGTTTCCATCTCCCAGTCCTGGAGCAGCTGACAGGACAGGAAATAAAAGAATCTGTGGATATGCTCAACATTTTGGTGTCATCCCCAAAAAATACCAGCAGTTAATTCCTGGGATGCACCGGCTGGAAAACCTCTCAGACAAAACACAATCCACACGGGCACGGGAGGGGTTCAAAATTTAATCAGTAAACACAGTGAAACAAATTCCAGAATCGTTAAAACAGGAGGATTAAGAAACAGTTTCAGGCACGTATTTAGAAAAAAAAAAAAAAAAGACATTTCTGGTATCACAAAGAGAGAAACCCCAAACCCAAACTGCTCTGGTAAAAACCCAGCAATGCTGGTCCCTGCTCCCAGGGGGAATGTTGTAACAGAACCTTGGGAAAAAGAAGCACCTGGGATTCCACAACCCCTCTGGATGTGATTTCTCCTCCCCTGGCAAGAGTGGAGTGCAGTCCTGGCCCTGGCAGAGCTCAGAGCTCCCGTGGGGAACTCTGGGATAAATTTAAATTCCCTTTGTCCTTCCAAGAGGGAACAGCTCACCCACAAAGCCACAGAGCCCCGAGCACAGCGCCGGCAGCAGGAAAAGGGAAATACATTCACAGGAAGGCTCCTCCAGACCAACACGGCTTCCTGCTGCAAGCAGAGAGGAGATTCCAGAGGGGGAGAGGGCAAGGCCGTGTCCCCTCCCTGCCAGGATGGGGGACAAGGGCCAGGCCAGGCCAGGATGTGTCCCCTCCCTCCTGGAATGGGAGAAGAGACGAGACAGGCCAGGCCAGGATGTGTCCCCTCCCTCCCAGAGGGGGACAAGAGCCAGGCCAGGCTGTGTCCCCTCTGTGCCAGAGGGGCAGAAGAGCCAGGGAAGGCCAAGCCAGGCTGTGTCCCCTCCCTCCTGGAATGGGAGAAGAGCCAGGCCAGGCCAGGCCATGTTTCCTCCCTCCCAGAGGGGGACAAGAGCCAGGCCAGGCCAGGCCATGTCCCCTCCTTCCTGGAATGGGAGAAGAGCCAGGCCAGGCCAGGCCGTGTCCCCTCCCTCCTGGCATGGGAGAAGAGCAAGGCCAGGCCCGGCCCGGGCGCGTCCCCTCGGTGCCGGCCAGGCCAGGATGTGTCCCCTCCCTCCTGGAATGGGACAAGAGCCAGGCCAGGCCGTGTCCCCTCCTCTCAGAGGGGTACAAGAGCCAGGCCAGGCCAGGATGTGTCCCCTCTGTGCCAGAGTGGGACAAGAGCCAGGCCAGGCTGTGTCCCCTCTGTGCCAGAGGGGCAGAAGAGCCAGGGAAGGCCAAGCCAGGCTGTGTCCCCTCCCTCCTGGAATGGGAGAAGAGCCAGGCCAGGCCAGGCCATGTTTCCTCCCTCCCGGAAGGGGAGAAGAGCCAGGCCAGGCCAGGCCATGTCCCCTCCTTCCTGGAATGGGAGAAGAGCCAGGCCAGGCCAGGCCGTGTCCCCTCCCTCCCAAAGGGGGACAAGAACCAGGCCAGGCCAGGCCATGTTTCCTCCCTCCCAAAGGGGGACAACAGCCAGGCCAGGCCAAGCCAGGCCACGTCCCCTCCCTCCCAGAGGTGTACAAGAGCCAGGCCAGGCCAGGCTGTGTCCCCTCCCTCCCAAAGGGGGACAAGAACCAGGCCAGGCCAAGCCAGGCCATGTCCCCTCCCTCCTGGAATGGGACAAGAGCCAGGCCAGGCCATGTCCCCTCCTTCCTGGAATGGGAGAAGAGCCAGGCCAGGCCGTGTCCCCTCCTCTCAGAGGAGTACAAGAGCCAGGCCAGGCCAGGCCAGGCTGTGTCCCTTCCCTCCTGGAATGGGAGAAGAGCCAGGCCAGGCCACGTCCCCTCCCTCCTGGAATGGGACAAGAGCCAGGCCAGGCCAGGCCGTGTCCCCTCCTCTCAGAGGGGTACAAGAGCCAGGCCAGGCCAGGCCAGGCTGTGTCCCCTCCCTCCTGGAATGGGACAAGAGCCAGGCCAGGCCAGGCCATGTTTCCTCCCTCCCAAAGGGGGACAACAGCCAGGCCAGGCCCGGCCCGGCCGCGTCCCCTCGGTGCCAGGACGTCTCCGGTGGCACGGCGGGTGCCGCTCCGTGCCCCGCCGCCGTCAGCCGTGGCTCTGCAGGTGCCTGTCCAGGAACTGGGAATAGCAGTGCAGGGAGCAGAAGTAGCAGAGCACGGGCGCGTCCGTGCCGCCCATGTTGTCCACCAGCACCACGGCGTGCGCCACGTGGTGCAGGTTCATGGTCACCGTGATCTGGATGAAGCTGCTCAGGCAGGCGCTCCCGCAGCGACACGTCTTGGCCACCTCCAGATCCTTGCACAGGTGGGAAGGGAGGAGCTGGCAGCCATAAGGGATTCTGTGGGGTGAGAGCAGAGAGGGTGAGCTCGGCACGGTGATCTGCCCAGGACACGAAAGAACACTCTGCTCTTTTCAAGGTAAAAGGGACTTTTTAATTTCTGACTCCAGCATTTATGGATTTCCAAAGGTGACAGTGGATTGCAGGGTGACAGAGCCACCTCTCCAGGGACACTGGACAAACCAACAGTCCATCCAATGTCTCCTCCTTCACAAAAGAATGTAAAACAATAAGTTATTTACGTAAAGTGTGTGAGAAAGTTCGTTACAAGAATGTAAACATCAAAAGGCGTAGAAAATCTTAAAAAATCAGGACAGGACACAGGCACCAGCCATTCCCAGGGCACATGATGCCTTCAGTTTTAGCTGTCATGTTTTCCAGACTCTGCACTGCTCTGGGGTATAACTCTGAACTCCACATGAAGTTTCAGCAGGTTTTCCTCACAGCTCAGGCACACACAACAATCCTTTTGCAGCCCCAGAACCAAGGACACCGCTGCAGCTCCAGCTCCAAAAAGTGTAAAAACAGCAAATTGAGGAGAGCAACCTGGGAGGGTGGGACTGCATCTCCTGGACAATGAGCCCCACATGGAAATGGACCAAAACTTATAAAAATGGGAAAACTTGTGACTCAGGGTCCATCTGGGGTGCAGCCCTGGCCGGGCTCTTGTGCTGCCCAAGGTGTGTCCTGTGAGGGCTTTTAATAAATCCCTGCTTTGTTCTTATTATAACTTTATTCTTATTATAACTCTGCCCAGCCTCTGTTCCAGGGAGCCTCTCCAGGCCTCACACAGACACGGAAAACCAGAGATTTGGGGCTGAAATGCCATTTCCTGAGATCTCAGGAATGAAATTTCCAATTTTAGGACCGAAATGCCACTTCCTGAGATTTCAGGAAGGAAATGCCACTTCCCAAGGCAGTTCCTGAGGACATGAACTCCAGGAGACACCCCAACAGGGAGCTCACAGCAGTCCTGGCAGCCTGGGCCACAGCCAGCTGGGGAATTAGAAAGACTGAGAGTAATGAGAGTTAGAGAATGAAAGGAAGATGAAGCATAATGAGACAGCTGGGCACGTTCTGTTCTTCCCTCACATCCTCTGTGTCTCACCCTGGCTGGACACAGCACCCACCAGCTGCTCCTCCCTCCTGCACCGAGGAGCAGCAGTGTTCAAAATGAACTCGGAGAAAGCAGGAGATAAACTGGAGCCCTGCAGGCACGACGTTAAAAGTTCTCCTGCTCCACAGCTCTCTCCATCCACCGTGTCAGCAATGACACCCAGAGTTGGGAAGGGGAATTGCTGCTTTTGGAATTGACAGAGGAGCAGTGTTGAGTTTGGGGTACAAAGTAAGTGATTCCCCTGAGGAATTCTGTCGGGTGGCTGAAGTGTGGGTCTGAGCAGGGCCCAGCTGGCACTCCAAACTCAGCACAGATCCCACTGACTCACATCCTGCCTCCACCTACACATTCCCAAACTTTCCACAAACCATCACTCACACAGCTAAGACTCCTCTAGGTGTTTTTTTTTTTTTTCCCACCTTAATTTCAGAACCCCCTTTTTTTTTCTGGGAAAAGCATAATCAAGAACTCTGGTACTTTCCCATAGTGAAGACTGATTTCCAAACATTATTTTTGCACCTTCTCCTTCTGTTTTGTCCCTTTCTCAAGGTTTTTACAGGAACTGGAATCTGACCAGCGCTGAGGGATTTCTAGAGGTAGAAAAAAGCCTTAATATTTACATCAAACCCACTGCAGTTTATATAAAGCTGGGAAAGGAGACATGTGGGGTTTAATTATAAAACCAGCAAGGTCAGCAGTGGGTGATTTGGCCCAGAACATGTGGTGGCTCAGCTCCCTTCAGGGTGTGCCCCTGGATGCCTTTGGTGCAAATTTCTGCACAATTACCCCGGGTTTATGGGGCACTGCCCACCCTCAAGGCAGGAACGGGCACAGGATGCAGATTAGGGACACTTCCAGCCTCTATCTCCCCCTTTTCTGTGCCAAATTTCTGTCTTTGTGCTCCCTTCCCACCCAGAGCAGGGTGGCAGCAGCAGCTGCTGGTACCTGGAGGCTCCTGGTACACGAAGGATCAGGGGTGGAAGTGGTGTGGGGGAAGAGAGAGCTGGTAACAAACAGCAGCCTGGGAGGGTGGGATTTACTTGATGAAATAATATTTTTTTTAATTACCTCAGAGCTGAGCTCTCTGAATAAGTCAGAACACCCTCACTCCAACACCAAGGGAAATGAAGAGCTTAAGAAAAACCTATAGCAAGGGAAAGCCTGCAGAAGAAGTGCCTCAGGGTTGTACAACTGATGCTCTTTTCCCAAAGTTGGCCAAAAATATTCTGTTCATCTCTCTTTGGTGGATGAAAACACTTCAATCTCCGCCTGTCCTTAAATGCTTCCAAAGGCACCAATCATCCTGACGACTTGACAGGGGGAATTCAAAGGAATTTTCACCTTAGGAAGTTAATAGTGAGAGAAGAGGCACTGAGGGGACAGGAGGGAGGTGCCAGGCGTGCCCTTACCTGTGGTTGACCGTGGCCCTGGCAGCACACTCCAACAGAGTCAGCGGGATCTTCAGCTGGATGTTGGGAACCAGCAGGTTGGGCTGCTCGAAAGGATTCCCGAAGAGATCCAGGTTCTCCAGGGAGAGCCTCCTGAAGTCAGAGGGCAGGAAGGGCAGCTTGTTGCGCGCGGCCGACAGGAAGCGCAGGCGGCTCAGCTGCCCGATGCGGCAGGGCAGGCGCAGCAGGGCGTTGTCGTCCAGCCGCAGCCGCACCAGGCCCCGCAGCTGGCAGAACTCCAGGGGCAGCGCCCGGATCTGGTTCTGGCTCAGGTCCAGCAGCTGCAGGGATTTCTGCAGGCCGGAGCTGCACAGGGCCCCGCTGAAGGCCTCCAGGTGGTTGTCGTGCAGGTCGAGCTCCTGCAGGCACACCAGGTCCCCCAGCGTGGCCGGCAGCTGCTTGATGTGGTTGTGGCTCAGGTCCAGCTTGCGCAGCTTCTTCAGGCACAGCACCCTGCTGTCGATCCTGGCCAGCTTGCAGTACGAGGTCTGCAGGTGCTCCAGGGAGAAAGGGAAGCTCTTGGCGAGGGGATAATCCCTCCTGGAAGTGATGATCATTTTGGTTTTGGGTTTCTCCACGTCGGAGTTCTTCGCTGGGACCAGAGGTGAGAGAGGGAGGACGCCGGTGTCGTTGCCTTGGTGAGCCAGTCTCACGGCTGAAAGGAAAGTCTTTAAATTGATCGCATTTGCCTGCAGGGGAACACAAGGCTGGAGTTAAAAGTTCATTATCCTGGTCGTTAACACTCCCTGAGCTGTCACTCAGCAGGGCAGAGGGGTGGGAGGGGGAAGAGCTCTGTCAAGAATAATCCCGGTCAAACTGTGCTGCAGCACCCAGGGAAGGAACAAAGCACCGAACCCACAGCTGGAAATGAAGTACAGGAAAAAACCCTGATGCTCTGGGAGCTCCCTAAAATCCACCAGGACAAAGGACTGTTGCAAACACACACGGGGAAAGCAGAGCTTTAAAACCTGAGGCAATAGTTCCTGGAAGTTTCTGGGAAAGGAAAGGATGGAAGCTGGGGTTGAACTCAGCAAAAGGAAGGTGAAGTCAGTGCTCGTGGCCACACACAGCTCTGGCTGTGCCAGCAGCAAAGAGGCAAATTCTGTGCAAAGACAAAATAAAAATGCTTGAGTTGGGATACAGTATTTTGGCAGTAGAATCCCAGGACAGTTTGGGTTGGAAGGGATCCTAAATCCCATCCCATCCCAGCCCTGCCATGGCAGGGACACCTCCCACTGTGCCAGGCTGCTCCAGCACCAGTGTCCAAGCTGGCCTTGGACATTCCAGGGATCCAGGGGCAGCCACAGCTGCTCTGGCAATTCCAGCCCAGCCCCTCTCCAGAGGTGTACAAGAGCCAGGGAGGAATTCTTAGGGAGAATTCCTCCCAATGTCCCATCCAGCCCTGCCCTCTGGCAGTGGGAAGCCAATAAAGGCTCCCACCAACTCTCAATATCAGAGTACCAAGAGATCTGTATTTTAAATAAAGATCCAGAAAACTCCAGAAAACAAAAAAAATGCATCTGTTGCACTGACTTGATTCACTTCTAGGAACATCTGTGACCAAATATTTCTCTTCTAGATTTTCCATCAAGTCTCTGCTCGAGCTGATGTGCAGCTGACAGGCACCGAGCTGAAAAGTGAACTCTAAAATAAAAAGCACATTGCAAGCATGGAAGGAAAAGAAAAGAACTGCCTTGGAGTTCTGAGAGCCCAGAGGGTGTCCTGGTGTTCCCAGCTGTCACTTGCCCAGGCCCAGGGACACATTTGGCACCTCAAAGACAACTCTGCTCCTAAATGTGTTTGTTTAGACCAAATCTGAGGGGGCTCAGAACTAGAGCACACAATGTGCTATAAGCACCCAGTAGGAGAAAACAAAGATATTGGAGATAATCCTGGATGGAATTGTGGGAGAAATAAAGACATTAAAGGTCAAACTGAATTGACTGCATGTGAAAACAAAAATGATCATTTTCCTTAAGCATTCCAAGCACAACTCCTGCTGTGCCACCTTCCAGAGCTGGGGAAGATGCACATCAAGCACCTTTGGATCCAAGGTTATCCAGAGAAGCTGGGGCTGCCCCTGGATCCCTGGAAATGTCCCAGGCCAGGCTGGATGGGGCTTGGAGCAGCCTGGGACAGTGGGAGGGGTGGATGGGATGGGATTTAAGGTCCCTTCTATCCCAAACCAGCCTGGGATTTTGAGACCAGCAGCCCTCATTATCTCAGCCAGTCTAACACACACATTCAGCTACAGAATTTCCCCTCATTCCAGGCAGATTTGTGGCATTTCCAAGATAACTGAAATGGGAATTAAGTCCAAAAAGTCCTCCAGATCTGTAAGGACCAAGTGAAATCAATGCTGCACACCAGAATGAAGTTACAGGCAGGATTTCTTTGCTCTCAAGCACAAAGCACAATCCCCTCCACCAGACCTCCCTAGGGCCATGTCAGACCTCCAGACCTCTTGTTGAGAAACCCTGAAACAAAAAAGAATAAATAAAAGAAAGCCAAAAATTACTTGGAAGAGCTCAGGATGCAATTTCCTGCCCCAAGCCTGAAGCCTCAGCCCCAGAGACAATGCTGGGAAAGGAGTTTAAACTGTGCTGATGCCCCTCAAGAGTCAGAGCTCCGAGGAAACGGGAGCTGAGGCGGATCCAGGGAAGCAGGCTCAGACCTGCTGAAGGGAAACAAACCCCAGAAAACACCCAGGATTTGTTATTTCTGCTCCAGGGGTGAATGCTCTGCACTGATGTTTCCCAACTCCACTCCTGAGCTGGCTGAGTGCAGCAAATCCAGCTCCTGGCACAGCACAAGCAGGGGGATTTCACATAAGCAATATTCCAGGCTTTGGAAATCTCCTTTCCACCAAGTTTTTGTTCATCTTTGAGAGTTAAGAAGCTTTTCTGTAGCGAAGTAATAAAAATATGGCAAAAAAACTATGGGAAAGGGATGAAACATCTTAAATTTGGGCTCTGGAGTTGGAGAGCTTAAGAGGAACCTGTAATATTTAGAGATAAACTTTTCCATTTCTCACTCTTCAGCAGAAAAATTCTAAGTAAAGGAAGCAGAAGTTATTCTGAATCTAATACAAAAGCCTCAATTTTTTGCAAAATACAGAGCACATTGGCTTTTAACAGGAAAAAACCCCAAACTGGGTTTGGTGTTCTCCCTTCTTATTTAACCATTTAACAGGTTCATAAAATTAAGGCTGCTTTCTTTAGATTCAGGTAACAGAAAGGGAAAAGGATTTTCTAAACCAACATTATTTGCTTCTATTTACACAGCCTGACCCTAAAGTTTCAGGTAAGAACTCAGAGGTTTTAGAAAGCCTGTCTTACTTTTCTCTGCTGTAGGGCTACAAAAGATTCCTGCAACATGCACAGAAAAAAAGGACACCAGAATTTAGTGATAATGCGATTTTTCTGGTAAAAACACTTTACAAATCCTCTGGGAACAGTGAATAAACACAGAGGTATTTGAAATAAGGGGAGATGGTGCCTGTGCCCTGCTCTGTGCTTTGAAAGCCACGGTGAGCACAGTGATGGTTTTGTCCAAGAAAACAAGAGAATTCTCCATTTTTTTTTTCCATGAGAACAACAATTTCATGGAATTTAAGGTCGAAAACCAACATTGCATCAGGGAGCTGAAAAAAAGCTTTTTCTAAAGAAGCTGTGAAGCAAAGCATGAAAACGGACTTGAAGCAGAAGAGTTAGAAAAGAGGGAATGGCTCCCAGTGCCAGAGGGCAGGGCTGGATGGGAGACTGGGAATTCCTGGCTGGGCTGGAATTCCCAGAGCAGCTGTGGCTGCCCCTGGATCCCTGGCAGTGCCCACGGCCAGGCTGGATGGGTTTGGAGCAGCCTGGGACAGCGGAGGCGTCCCTGCCATGGCCGGGGTGGCTCTGGGTGGCTTTAATGTCCCTTCCCCGCTCGGCGGAGCGCGGTGAGCCGCGGCTGCTCGCGGTGCCGGTGCCGGTGCCGGTCCCACCTTGCTGAGGCACAGATCCACCGCGGGCTCCCGCAGCCGCACCGTGGCCTTGCCCTCCTCCACGAAGCGCGTGAAGAGCCGCTCCACGTTCTGCTGCACCTGCGGGCACAGCGGGCTGCTCAGCGGCCGTCCCGGGGCGCCCCCGCCGCGGCCCGGGCCCCCGCCGCCGTCCCCACCTTGTAGCGAGCCCCGCCGCGGTCCCGCGCCGTGCACACCATGAGGTAAATCCCGGCACCGGCAGCGCCGGGCGGGCGCCCGAGCGACACCAGCGCCCGCGCGGCGCGGCCGCGGCCCCGCAGCCCGCAGGTGGGCAGGAGCCGGCTGAGCACCTCCACCTCGCACTGCAGCCGCATCCCGGTCCCGGTCCCGGTTCCGATGCCGGCCCCGATCCCGGCACCGGCCCCGGCCCGCGCACGGCGGGCGGCGCCGCCGGGGGCCTCCCGCGCTGTGCGCGCACAGGCGCCCGCTGCGCTGCCTGCCCGCCGCGGTGCCAGCCCGCCGCGTTGCCCGGTCCCGTCCGCCGCCCGCTGAGGGCGCACCGGCAGCAGCGGGCAGCCCGAGCGCGGGCCCTCAGCGCAGCGCCGTCCGCGCGGGGCGGGTTGAGCGCACCTCCTGCTGGAGGCGGCTGGTGCGGCTGGGCGGGACAGACGGGCGTGAGGGGACCGGAGCGTGAGGGGACACGGGGTGTGAGGGGACAGGAGCGTGAGGGGACACGGGGTGTGAGGGGACACGGAGTGTGAGGAGACACGAGTCATCAGGGGACACGGGGTGTGAGGGGACACGGAGTGTGAGGGGACGGGAGCGTGAGGGGACAGGAGTATGAGGGGACACGGGGCACGAGCGGACACGGGGTGAGGGGACACGGAGCGAGCGTGAAGGGACGTAGTGTGAGGGGACATGGAGTCTGAGGGGACACGGAGGAGCTGAGAGGACATAGATATGAGCAGACATAGGTGTATGAGAGGACATGGAGTGTGAGGGGACACCGAGGATGTGAGGGGGCATGGAGGTGTGAAGAACGGACAGGGAGGAGCTGAGGGGACAGCGGGATTTGAGGGGACATGGAGGGTGTGAAGGGACATGGGAAGCTGAGGGAGGACAGAGAGGAGCTGAGGCTGTTTCCAAATCTTAGGGACTCTAAACACGAATGAGTCAGGTTGAGAAAGGAGATATTGTTTATTCTGTGCAGGGTGGAAATTGTCCACTAATCAATCAGTCATCAAAAAGATTTATACACTAAAGTTTACATAAATCTGCCCATCGAATCCCCAGTTCCCGCCTACCTAATGAACACTCATGGCTAAGCACGACATAAAATATAAAGTTTTCCATAAACATCAAGTAAAGCATGAGACACGTGGTGACGTGTTGTCATTGGAAAAGGGGTTAGAGGGGAGAATGGTGTGAGGAGCAAGAGGGAGCGGAGGAAGGGCCAGAGAATTCTGAGTAAGGACATGGAGGGGACAGCAGGTGTGAGGGAGGGGACACTGGGGAGATGAAGGGATGGTGGGTGGGAGGGGACACGGGAGCTGAGGGGACACAGAGGAGGTGAGGGGACACGGGAGCTGAGGGGACACAGGAGGTGAGGGGACACAGAGGAGGTGAGGGGACACGGGAGCTGAGGGGACACAGGAGGTGAGGGGACACGGGAGCTGAGGGGACACAGGAGGTGAGGGGACACGGGAGCTGAGGGGACACAGGAGGTGAGGGGACACAGAGGAGGTGAGGGGACACGGGAGCTGAGGGGACACAGGAGGTGAGGGGACACGGGAGCTGAGGGGACACAGGAGGTGAGGGGACACGGGAGCTGAGGGGACACAGGAGGTGAGGGGACACAGAGGAGGTGAGGGGACACGGGAGCTGAGGGGACACAGGAGGTGAGGGGACACGGGAGCTGAGGGGACACAGGAGGTGAGGGGACACGGGAGCTGAGGGGACACAGGAGGTGAGGGGACACAGAGGAGGTGAGGGGACACGGGAGCTGAGGGGACACAGGAGGTGAGGGGACACGGGAGCTGAGGGGACACGGGAGCTGAGGGGACACAGGAGCTGAAGGGGCATGCACGGGATGTGAGGGGATGCAGAGGAGGTGAGGGGACATGAGAGGTGAGGACACAGAGGAGCTGAGGGGACAAGGGAAGCTGAGGGGACAGGAGCTGAGGGCAGGCGGGTGTGATGGCAGCAGCTGAGGCTCGGTAAGGGACAGAAGGCCTAGGTCAGGCTCGGTGTCACTGTGGGCGCCCTGGGGCGGCTTTGAGCACATGAAGCAGCATTGGGAGAAAAAAGAAACAAACTCTGGGAGGCGTTTGCTGAGTGATTGTGCAGGTGTGTTATTTGTAGGGCAGGAGTTGCGTTTGAGGTTTGGTCGGTGCAGTGAATTGTGTAGTTTGAGCCGTGCGGGGTTGTTGCGGTGTTCGGTCAGTCGGAGGTGATGTTTGTGTGTGCGGTTTTGGGGCGAAAAGGGGTGTTTGGGGGTTTTGGCGGCTAGGGTAAAAAAGGTGAACCCGCGTGTCACTATATTGCCCAGGCTACCCTGGGGTGGCTATTCACAGATGCGGTCCCCCCAACAACCGCCACTCTGCTCCGACCTGGGCCTCGCCTCTTTCCTCAGGCGACTTCAGCCCCCAGCTCACCCCAGTACGACCACATAGATACCGGCTCTCGCTTGCGCGCTCATTCCGCACCGCGCACACAGCGGGCCCAGAACCTCCGAGCTCAAGGATCCGTCGGGCTCAGCCTCCCCCACGGCTAGGATTACAGGCGCGCGCCACTACGCCCGGCGCTCGCCGCTCCCTCCGCCGGCAATACCAGCTTCAGCAGCGATGACGTCACGGCGGCGGGCGGAGCTGCGTGACGTCACGGAGGGGGAGCGGGCCCGGCCGTGGCAGGGCGGGAAGCGGGAGTCGCGCGGTGCACGCCGGGAGGCGCCGTGAGGGCTATAAGGGCAGGCGGCCGCCGCCATCTTTCTCTCGGCACCGCGCAGCCATGGGCCACCAGCAGCTCTACTGGAGCCACCCCAGGAAGTTCGGGCAGGGTTCCCGCTCTTGGTCAGTGCTGCCCCTTGCGCTCCCCGGGTCGTGGCTGCCGTCTCACCGCCCTGGCTCGCTCTGCTTTCCTCTCACATTAACCCCCCCCTTCCCCGCCGCCATTCCCCGCCCTCACGCGCCTCTCTCTGTTCCCCTCACAGCCGCGTGTGCTCCAACCGCCACGGCCTCATCCGCAAGTACGGGCTCAACATGTGCCGGCAGTGCTTCCGCCAGTACGCCAAGGACATCGGGTTCATCAAGGTGAGCCCCGGGCTGTGGGAAGGGGCTCGGGGGTGCCGGTTCCCGCTGACTGCCCTCGTGTCTCGCTCTCTTGCAGCTGGACTGAGCGCCGGGAGGATGAGGCGACAGCCAGGAGCTCCCGGGGCGTCCCAAGGCCTCCCTGACACATCTGCAGCGTCTCGGCTCAGCCTCACCTAATAAATGGTCTCCTAACCCAGCTGCTCCCTGCGTGTTTCCCTTCTGGGCAGGTTTTGGTGGCTCGGGGGTTCTTTGTACAGGGCTGTTCTTGGAGTGTGGGGGCTGCCCTGCTCTGCTCGGCTTCCCAACCTTCCTGTACCCCGGGCTGCTCCAAGCCCTGGCCAGCCTGGCCCGGGATCCAGGGGCAGCCACAGCTGCTCTGGAGGGAGTGAGGTAAAGACACACTAAGTGCCAGAGGTCTGGGATTTCAAGTCTTTTGGAATTTCGAGTGTCTGAGTGCTCTTCTGCTGTTCAGTGTCCTTGCTGTGAGGGGACTGAGCAGGTAAATGCTCTGCTCGCACCTGGGGTCCCAAATGCTGCTCCCTCCCAGCTGAGTGCTCTGCAGATCCTCTGGGAATGCCCAGGAGCCTTTGTCTTGTCCCCCTGGCTGTGACATCAGTGAGATGAGGTGGTCAGGAGGGAGTGGGAGCAAAAGGTGAAGGGCTGTGGGGTTATCACAGAATTTGGGATGGTTTGGGCTGGCTAAAAGGGACCTTAAAGCCCATCCCACTCCAGTCCCCTGCCCTGGGCAGGGACACAGGGCACTGGGTGGTGAGGAAGCAGCTCCTTCCACCTCCTAATTCCCTCCATGTGTGGCACAGGGATGGGGATTTGGGGAGAGGTTGGCTTTCCTCACCAGGAGGTGGTTGGGCCTCTCATTTTGAGTGAAAAAATGGTTAAATCCCGATGTCCCCTGCCCTAGGCAGGGACACAGGGCACTGGGTGGTGAGGAAGCAGCTCCTTCCACCTCCTAAATCCCTCCATGTGTGGCACAGGGATGGGGATTTGGGGAGAGGTTGGCTTTCCTCACCAGGAGGTGGTTGGGCCTCTCATTTTGAGTGAAAAAATGGTTAAATCCCGATTTTTTTTTACCAGAAAATGCTTCAGTGTGAAAGTTCCACACTAAAAATTTAAGATTTCAGTTGCTCTGGTGGTGGTTTTGGGCTTTCCCCCTCCCCAGTTTTGGTTGATGTACAAAGGGAGGGGAATCCTGTGGGATTTGTTTGGCTTCAGTGTGGTTCTGATAAAACCACAAACCCCTCATTGCCTTTTTAACCAAAATACTGAATTTCTAAGGGGGGGTTTTAACCGAGGTGTAAAATTTCAGAGGAACACGAGATCAGTGGGGATGCAGAATGTGATGGGAGGGTCAGTGCAGTTCCCACTGCTGTGTCCAGCTTTCCTCCTGCTGCCTCTCAGGGGTGCCTGAGGCACTTCCCAGTGGGAAATCTGTGTTTTCCACGGATGGAAATGTTGGATGTCATGTTGGACACAGGAGGATGCTCCCGTGCTGGGTGCCACGGAAAGCAGGATTGGAATTTTTTGGATTCTCAGAGCTGCAAGAGCTGTTCAAGCCAGGCAGGGAATTGTGGATATTTGTCCTTTTTTCCTGATCAAAGCTCCTTCCTGATGGTCAGAGGAATTTGGGATCATTTTCCCTGTGCTGCCCTGAGGATCTGAGCCCCAAATCTCTGCCAGAACAT